GTTAGCAGTTGAGTCCTTTAACCGCTGTGCCACCAGGGATCTGTGCAAATATGCTAACACCATAAATTTTATAGAATTGTTTTATTAAATGTGATCAAATATGCATAATATCTAATAAATGCCTACTTCATAGTAGGCACATAAAATATGATTATCACAGAAGCAAAGAACCAAAATCTTAAAGTAAACTTTTGCTATTTCACCTCACTCACCTTCAACCAAAACCTCACTTACAGTCAGTGGGAGTGACGACTCATTCAACTCCCTAGACTTGAGAATCACATTCAGAGAGCCATCCCAGTAATGAGAGCACCAGCATGGAAACCCAGTGCCCTGCCATCAAGGCACTGGACCAGCACAGGAGAAAGTTTCAATTACTTACAGGACAGATGTCTCGCCAGTGGTCATGGGTGCGTGCTCCCCTTTAGTGTCTCCCCACAAAGCCTATGGAAGCTGAAGCTTGCAAACTTCTCATCACAATTTCAGACTAAGAAAAGTCAGTTTTAATGGAATCCCTTTCAGGATGGAAATGGCAATAATTTGCGGCACTGAGCCTCCTGTTGTTCAGGTTGATGCTGCTGCTGGTGGTGCCTAATGAATCACTGTGCAACACCTCATTGCATGCAAGCTTATGCAAACTGATAATTAAGCAAAAAGGTTATTTTAGTCAAATCAATCAGATATTGTATCTATTTGAAACAATAATGTAAACATAATTGATGGGGCATAATTAGTGATCAACCAAGGCTGCTAATAATTAAATGATAAGAAGGTATGAGAGGAGGGAAACTGAAGAGCATGTTTGCCTCATTTCTTGAAACCACTGGAACCGTTTCTTGCTGCATTGATAACCACAGCCAGGGAGTCTGATCATTTTCTCATTTCTCTGTAAAAGCTATCTGGAGGTAGTGAATTGAATTAGCATCTTGGTGCTAAGGACTCCTGACTGGGTTTGAATCTTGGATCTACCTGTGTTTGAATCCTGGTTATAACACTAACCAGTCATTACGACCTTGTGAATGCTATGAAATCTCTCTGAGCTTCACCTTCCTAATTTATAAAACGATCTTTATGTAATACTACCATTCACATATGATTGTTGTGAGAATTAAATCAAATATAAGTATATAGCTTTTAGATAAGTTCCATGAATTTAACGTTTGTTTAGCTAAATAAGTGTTTGTTGGTATTAATAGCATCATTACTTTTGAAGCCTCTTTAACACTTCTTTTTTTTTTCCTGCTATACAAGGTTACTTTGTCACAAGGATTTAAACCATATTCTCAACAGTTTCCCACTAAATTCTGGGATGAGAAATGATTGTTTATAAATATGGAGTCTAGGGGGTGGGGCCAAGATGGCAGAGTAGTCAGACGCTTCCAGTGGAACCTCTTACAACAAAGACCTGAAAAAACAAGTGAATCAATTATATATGGCAATCTGGGAGCCCTGAACATCAAAGGCAGAGTTGAGGAACCAGACTGAATGGCAGGGGGAGGGAGAGACGGTTCAGAAGCAGTGAGGAGTTGCCAGACCTGACACAGCAAGAGCCTGAGCCCTTCAGACCTGATCATCTCGGGGGTGAGGGGTGAGACAGGCAAGCAGCCGTGTTCAGGAGGCACGTTTTTTGCACTGGGAGAGGCCCAGCTACAGAGAGTCTACATGGCCACCCAGAAGCAGCCCTCCATGAAAGGTAAGTACTTGAGTATAGCTTACCGCGCAGATCAAAAACACTGTCCTTAGGGAAAAAACCCTCTCCCATCTACCTCCCCGCTTCCTGCTCTGCACTGGGTCCCGGACCACCTTCAGCAATTGCCTAGTCCCCTGGGCTGGAAGTAGGATCTGTCACATGCCTGGAGCCATTCTCCCTGCCTTGGAGAGTAAACAAATTAACAAACAGGGGAAAAAGTAAGCTGCCAGCTCCCTTAAGCCAGGAAGCCAGGGTAGGCACAGCTCCTTTGCCTAGCCACAAGCATAAGGGATCCATGGACTTTGAGTGCCTTTCCCCCTGTATAGACTTGTGTGGGCCCATCTCAGCAGCGTCAGCCCTCATTATCACTGTACAACAGGGTATATACCAGAACTCTATCTTCAACTCTTTCAGCTGTGAAGTGGCAAGTTCTTGACGTTTGACACTGCTTTGCCCATTAAGCAGGGTCTTCACCTATTCACATTAGGACCCTGAGGACTGGTGGCACCACCCTCATCACTTAGCCTCCTGCTATAGGGGCCCAAGAATAAGAGGTGCCCCTCAGTGCTTACAGCCAACAGCATTGGGTGCTCATAGTCCAGCTGGAAAACCCACCCACCTACGTGCTCTAGAGAACAGGGACATGCCTTCCTCGTGGACATTCGGGGTCAGCCATCAGCCCCCTGGCTTGCTAAGAGTGTGTCCCTCTGTTGCAGCCAGATGTCTGTGTCTACACCAATAACCCATGCCTGTCTTGGATTGTAGGTGAGAGCCTGCACCACACACTTGGTGGCTATCAACCTGGTCACCTGAGTGAATCCATACAGGATGAGTAGGCAGACTCCTGAGCTCACATACCTAGTAACAGATACAACCACCTGGCAACAGGACATTAGAACTTCAAAGGTGCCAATAATCAGACTAGCTCATACGAGCAGCCTATTTCGGCATATCAAAACAAAACAAGAAGCTAGGACACAGTAGGCAAACATAAAATAAATAAATATAATAACTTATCGATGGCTCAGAGACAACAGTCAATACCAAATCACATAAAAAGACAGTTCATGATGGCTTCAGCAACTCCCAAAATAAAGAATCCAGAAATTTTCCAGAGGAGGAAAATTTCTTACAATTACCAAAGGCAGAATACAAAAGATGAATTTACAGAACTCTTCAAGAGATTAGGAAGGAAATTAATCAAACTGCAGAACATACAATAGAGGAAATTAAAAAGATTAGAGAAGAACATAATGACAAATTTAACAAGCTGCAAGAATCCATAGAGAGACAGCAATCAGAAATCCAGAAGATTAACAATAAAACGTCAGAATTAGACAAGTCAATAGAAAGTCATAGGAGCAGAATTGAGGCAACGGAAGTCAGAATTAGTGAGATTGAAGATAAAGCACTTGACACCAACTTATATGAGGGAAAATCAGATAAAAGGTTTTAAAAAAATGAAGAAACCCTAAGAATTATGTGGGACTCTATCAAGAGGAATAACATACGAGTGATTGGACTACCAGAACGGGTTGGATAACAGAAAATACACAGAGAATCGTTGAAGATTTTCTGGGAGAAAACTTCCCTGATATCATGAAAGATGAGAAGATATCTATCCAAGATGCTCATTGAACCCCGCATAAGGTAGATCCCAAAAGAAAGTCAGCAAGACATACTATAATCAAATTTGCCAAAACCAAAGATAAAGAGAGAATTTTAAGAGTGGCTAGGGATAAACAAAAAGTCATCTACAAAGGACAGTCAGTAAGAATAAGCTCGGACTACTCAGCAGAAACCATGCAGGCAAGAAGGTAGTGGGATGACATATATAAAGCCTTGAAGAAATAAACTGCCAGCCAAGAATTATATATTCAGCAAAACTGTCTCTCAAATGTGATGGTGAAATTAAGACATTTCCAGATAAACAGAAGTTTAGGGAATTTGCAAAAACCAAACAAAAATTACAAGAAATACTAAAGGGAGTCCTCCAGTTAGAAAATTAGTAACATCAGATAACCCAAGACCAGAACACAGGACAGAGTAACCAGATATCAACCCTGAATGGGAAGTCACAAAAGTAAATCAAACTAAAACCCTGAAAAATAGGGAAACAGATGTCAATATGTAGAAGATAACAACATTAAAACAAAAAAGAGAGACTTAAAAATTGTAGACATAGATTTTTCATACAAAGAGGAAGTCAAGGCCCTATAAAGGAATAAAAGACTGGTATAAACTTAAAAAAATAGGGGTAAATACTAAGGTGACCACAAAGGAAATTAACAATCCCACAAGTCAATATAAAAAACTAGAAAAATATAAAGACTCAGCAAACACAAAATCAACAACAATGAAAAAGGTGAAAAGAAAATACATAAACAAAAACGACTCAGCACAGACAATTAAGTGGAACAAAGAAACTGTGAACAACACACACACACACAAAAAGACATCAAAATGACAGCACTAAACTCATTCCTATCAATAATTATGCTGAATGTAAATGGACTAAATGCATCTATAAATATGGAGTCTAAATCTCGCCAACTTTCACAATTAAGGTAGCATCTCAAGTCTCATTGAATGCCCTTCCCCTTGCCCCCATAATTATCCAAATCCCACCCATTACTTCATATCTGTTAAACTCCACCTGACTCTGCAATCCTCTGCATGCTGGAATCCTGAGTGTGCTCTCTTTTCTTTAGCCCCATTATACTTCTTACTTACACTACAGAATGCTTTGTGATATCTAACATACAAATACCGAAACCAATAAAGCTACTGTTATATTATTACTTACTCAAGTAAAAATTATATTCTTATATCTGCATAACAGTCTTCCCCAATAAAATGCTAAAGCTATTTATTAAACATTTAACAAATACATGCTATATTCATTATATCAGTGCTGCATAATAATTACCCTGCAACTCAGCAGCTGTAAACAATAATCTATTAATCACTTTATGAATCTGAGAACAAGAGATTTAGATTTGTCTTGTCTGGGTGTTGCTTTCAGTTTCTGCTAGGCTCAGTCCCATGTCATGAGTTGACTGGCAATCAACTAAGGTGATCTTTGCTGGGGTAATTAGGTTATTGGGCCTCTCAGCTGAGTTTATATGTAGGTCTCCTTGCTCATAATGGGTTAGTACTGGAAAGTTACATGGTAAAGGGTGTAGACTAAAGGAAGTGTTAAGAATTAGCACCATTGTTCGCTCCAGTCCACCTGACTGAGCTTCTGTGGAAGACCATCTCTGGCTTGCGTATTTTGCAGTCATTGCCCTTTCCTTTCAACGCGGCTTTCACTCACCACCACTGTCACCAAAATGAACTGGCAGCTTAACGTCTTCTACGAGGTGTTCATCGAGGAGGGCACTTTCCTCTTCACCTCAGAGTCTGTGGGGGAAGGCCATCCAGATAAGATTTGTGACCAGATCAATGATGCTGTCCTTGATGCCAACCTTCAGCAGGACCCAGATGCCAAAGTGGCTTGTGAAACTATTGCTAAAACTGGAATGATCCTTCTTGGTGGAGAAATTACATACAGAGCTGCTGTTGACTACCAGAAAGTAGTTCATGAAATCATTAAACACATTGACTATGATGACTCTTCCAAAGGGGTTTGACTACAAGACTTCTAATGTTTTGGTAGCCTTGGAGCAACAGTCACCAGACATTGCTCAAAGCTGTTCATCTTGATCAGAATGAGGAGGACACTGGTGCAGGAGAGCAGGGCTTGATGTTTGGTTATGACACTGATGAAACTGAAGAATGTATGCCTTTAACAATTGTCTTAGTACACAGGATCAATGCCAAACTTGCTGAACTACACCACAATGACACTTTGCCTTGGTTGCACCCAGAATCTAAAACTCAAGTGACTGTGCAGTATGTGCAGGATCGAGACGCTGTGCTTCCCATCAAAGTCCATATAATTGTTCCGCATAATGAAGAAGTTTGTCTTGATGAGCTGAGGGATGCTCTAAAGGAGAAAATCATCAAAGCAGTTGTACCTGTGAAGTATCTTGATGAGGGCACAATCCACCACCTACAGTCAAGTGGCAGATTTATTATTGGTGGGCCTCAGGGTGATGCTGGTTTGACTGGCCAGAAGATCATTGTGGACACTTACGGTGGTTGGGGAGCTCACAGAGGAGGTGCCTTTTCAGGAAAGGATTATACCAAGGTGCACAGTTGAACTGCTTATGCTGCTCGTTGGGTGGCAAAATCCCTTGCTAAAGGAGGTCTGTGCAGAAGGGTTCTTGTTCAGGTCTCTTATGCTATTGGAGTTTCTCACCCAGTCTATCTCCATTTTCCATTATGGCACCTCTCAGAAGAGTGAGAGAGAGCTATTACAGATCGTGAAGAAGAATTTTGACTTCCGCCCTGGGGTCATTGTCAGGGATCTGGATCTGAAGAAGCCAATTTATCAGAGGACTGAAGCCTATGGCCACTTTGGTAGGGACGGCTTCCCATGGGAAATTCCCAAAAAGCTTAAATATTGAAAAGCGTTAGCCTTTTTTCCCCAGACTTGTTGGCGTAGGCTACAGAGAAGCCTTCAAGCTCTCAGGGAAAGGGCCCTTCTTCTGAAATTTTTCTGTCCTCTTTCAGCTCCTGATCAGTTGCAGTCACTGTAGTTAATGACATGAATTTTAGTTTTTGTGGGGTATTGTATAAGCTGAGCTTGCTACTCTATCCCTGGTGTTTTGTTCATCATTATAATGAATTTGGTGAGCATAGGTGATCCAACTGCCTAGGAACAGACAACACTGTAGTAAATAATGCTTTGAAATTGAGCCTTTGTGGCCTACCACCTAAACCTCTAAAATCCTAATTGCGTTGAATTTCTCATCAAGAAACAAAAAAAGTAGCACCAAATGTTTGAATTTGCCGTATTCATTATCTTGTTTTTTTTTTTTTTTTTTTCTTAAGCAGTTTGAATTGTGCCATGTTTAAAAAGTATCACTTGGTAGATTGCTTGAATTTTTGCCAGAAAAATGACACAAGGGCAATAACTTAAAAGTAAAAATACATTTCATACTTCTGATTTTTCTATTATTAACCAAGAAAACTACTCAGAAGAATAATAGAAATCTTCCAGAGATAACAGTTTTGGGTGTTTTCTTGTTTCTATGCAAGCAGCCCATTGAATAGTCAATAGGCAAATCTCTAATTGTCCTAATCATTTTTATAGGACTTACCAGATTTCTGTGATGTGCCACATGGTGCTATTTCTTAACCTGTACCTATGGAAGTGTTTCAGTTGCCCTGCTGCATACCAATTGACCAAAAAACTTATTAAATGAAACATCAACATTAACTTTGCTCACAAATCTACAAATTTGGGTAGGGCTTTGTGGATACAGCTCACCTCTGCTTTTCTTGGCAGCACCTGGGCCAGCATGGAGGCTGGGGGCTGGATTGCTCACTTCTGTGTCTAGTGGTTGACATTAAGAAGACTTAAACAGCTGGGTACCAAAATAGTTGGAGCTGCTCAGAGATCTCTTTCTATCTTCATGTGGCCTCCCCACAGGTTTCTCCACAATGGCTGAATTTCTTATACATCAGCTTATGATTCTCATGGTGTATGTCCTGAGAGAGAGAAAGAGAATCAGGCAGAAGCCTTATCACCTCTTATTACCTAGCCATGGAATCCATGCAGCATCACTTCTGCCACATCACGCACATCACCACAGATGGCCTCTATAGATGGGGACAGGATTCAGACTTCACCAGGTACTAGAAGAGTGTGTGGCACCAGAAATATCACTATGGCCATTTTTGGAAAGCATAATTAGACATAGATGCCCAAGCGTACACTGATGTAATATTGCCCATCCATATGGCCAGAGGAAACATCTCCCTCACAGCACTATTCCATCAATTTTGACATTTCATTCAACTGATGCTTTGTACCCTGTATACCCTGCAAAATAATCACCATACAGTCCATTTCTTGATGACTCCTTTATCTTCCAAGAAGGCAACCCTAATAAGGGCTAATCAGATAAACTCAGACACTGAGCAATATTTTTTAAAAAATTACAGTATATTGTTACTATGTAGGCAAGAAAATGCTTACTCATTTTAGCTTATATGATAGTGGATTCTAATTATCCTGTTTAAAAGGATGCTTAATACCTTATAAGTTTTATAACACATATCAGAAATTAACTTATTTTTTACTTATAACTGTACCTCAAAATTTCCCCCAATACCATCATTAGAATGTATGATACATGAGAACAAGCACCTAGTCATATTGTTTTGAATTTTATCAGTGCATTCTCAGCATGGAAAACAGTTATTATAAGGCAACAAGAGACTTAATTTATACTGTTGAATGACTGACTAAATTAAGAAAAAAAAACAATTATAGCTACTATAAGACAGCACTCCAAATCTGCGTGGTGCTTACAGGTTGTACCCGATTTCTAGATTTCCAGGAGACCATTAGAAAAAGAGCACCAATAACTAATATGGATTTTTCCATAAACATCGTGTCCTTCTGATTAGAGCCTGAACACACCTTAGCACATGAAAAGTAGTTTTTATTGTTTACAATAATCAAGACAGCATACAACAGGAAAAGTTCCATCTGAGCAGTGAATACTCCCCGGCTCAAAAGCTGTCCTGGCAGAGAGAATGACTCTTCCATGTACACCCCACTTTGTGCCATGGATGAGGGTCTAAATGGGATCCTACCTACTGCTGGTCTCCCGCTGGCCAGGTAGGTCCACTTAGGTAGACTTTAAGTTTATGCTCTGCGTGCCTCTTCTGAACCATAGCTGAGGAGACAAAGAAAACTTCCTCTCTCAGCTGTTTATACCCCCAACCTAAATGGCTAATTGTATCTTTTTAAGCCTGCTAACAAATATCTTATTGCATCATGCCCCACACCCCCACCCCAACTTCCAGAGGTTGCCACAGGAGGGGTTGGTTAGCCCAGAATTGTATCTTTTTAAGCTTGCTAACAAACATCAAGCCTCATTGAGGTTAGTTGTTTGTTCTGGGGCCTAAAGATGCCAGTGGGGAGAGGAACAGAGAAAACCATTGCTGCCTGGCTTATCCAAGGACCTGCTTCTCACAGCTACAAGCAAGTAAGTGAGATGTTTAGGAAGCAGAGCCCAGACCTTCGCACACTGTAGATGAGAAGCAAAATTTTGCCAATAGGTTTAACAGAAGTTGGAGTTAGAACCTCCATATGGGATGAGTTTCTCTTCCGTTTACTGGCAAAAGAATTGAAGCCATTTTATTCAGATTTTTCATGAAGAGTTTATGACTCAAGAGTTCTATAGTACTAGACAATGAACTGATCCTTTTTAGTATAGTCATAGTGACTAAAAAAATGCTATAGACATCTCTAGGATGTTTATAAAAGCATATTTAACTAGGGAGGAATCCAAAAACCCTTCAGTGTTTCTTAAAACTCTTAAAAACTGAGATAAGCTATACTTATTTCTGTGAGGATGTGTATCTGCTCTATTTATGTGTAGGGTCAAGGATTATATGGCAAGACAGTTCACTGAAGGAGGAGGCTTTTAACCAATGTTTTTTTCAGATGTTATTCTACACGGGACTATGAATGTATTGTTTAAGTATCGTAAGAATACCGTTCTTCTTTCCCAAACTGGAAGTAATTATTAAAATTTTAATGCAAATCTTCAAGTTAGATTAAGACTTTGATTTCTATAAGAAAATAAGTTCACACGAAAGTGAATAAACATTTTACTTCTATCATTTAGTACTAGCATAGCATGGGGTAAAAGAATATAAATGCCCGAGGCAGACACACCTAGCTTTATATTTCAACTCTAAAAACTATTAGCTGAATTTCTTTGGGCAAAGTACTATCCTTCATGAGCCTCAAAAATTTTGCCTTTTTTAATTGAGCATACAAAAACTTAGCCCACTGCTTGGCTTTTAAGATTCAGTGAAATAAATATAATATTTAAGCATAAATAGTGCCTGATTAATAAATGTTATTTGATCTCCATGTTCCAACTTCTTACTAAAATATACCCTTAAAAGAAAATAATTTATAGCCTTTGCTAATTATTGCTGTTGTTGCCAGTCATCGAGGTCATTCCAACCAATGGTGACCCCACGTGTGCAGAGTAAAACTGCTCCATTGGGTTTTTAAGGCAGAAATCTTTCAGAAGCAGATCACCAGACCTCTCTTTCGAGGTCCCTGTGGGTAGGTTCAAACTGCCAATCTTTTGGCCAGTAGCCAAGCACTTACTCGTTTGTACCGCCCAGGGGCTCCTTCTTTCCTAATAAAGGAGTGAAAAGTGGGTAAGTGTCAAGACAAAGAATTGAGGTAGAATAACTAAGTGCACTAATCACAGCAAGGCTAGGGAAAGATGTGGATAGTGAAACCAGTTTCACCTGCTGGACATCAGTGGGGACTATTGAATTTTATAATAATCCATGGAGTCACTTATGTAACAAATATTTAATGAGCTTGTATCATGTGCCAGGAATCCTGGTAAGAAAGATAATGTATCCTTAGAGCTGATCTCCTAAGAACCCATCATCACATTTAAATAAACGTCTCAGTGGTATCTTCTGCTACAACCTGCGTTTTTGTGATGTGAATGAGCTCGTACGCATTTGAAAAATAGAAGTTGATGATAGCATATTGGAGAAGTCACATTAGTTCAAACGTGGTTTCTCCAAGCCAGTTACTTCCTGTGTAACATCAGTGGGGCATAGCAAGCAATTGAGGAAAACGGTCACGTACGTGATACCCATTCTCCTCCTGTGGCTCAAATTGACCACTTGTTCTGTTTGCGGGCTGGTTTTCCTGGTGTCTGTGTGTTTGACCTTGTCTCCTTGAACTAGAGATTCCAGCTTTTCTTTAACCCATTTTCTCAAGCTAATTTCCCTGAGTGGTGCAAATGGTTAAGTGCTTGAGTACTAGCTGAAAGTTTGGCAGTTTGAACCCACCCAGAGGTGCCTTGGAAGACAATCCTGGTGATCTGCTTCTGAACAGTCACTGCCTTGAAAACTCTACAGAGCAGTGCTACTCTGAAACACTTGGCATCCCCATGAGTTGCAATTGACTTGTTGACTACCAGCAACATTTACCAGAGCAGTTTGTTTGTTGGTTTCTATAGAGTTTAGCGTGCCTTCTTTATGATAATATTTGTCTTAAGATTGCAACTTTTTCATTAGTATTCTGATTACAATAAGTTTTGAGTGATCAACCCTGATCCGATTTTTTTCCTATGAGCCTCATTGTTTCCATGCACCATTTTCAGCAAATAAATTTTTAAGAATGCCATATCACATTACAGAAGAAATTTTACCTTTCAGAAAAGACATAGAATTGGAAGTTAAACTTGAACTCTTTGTCACCAAACTGTACATGAGAATTGTATATCAGCTTCCAACACCACCACCAACCATCAAAAAAACAACCAATCTCTTCTGTTGGAAGTTTTCTTACTGGAAAACTGGTGCACCTCCTACGTGGTCCCCAAGCTCCCTGCACTTATATCACATTATATCACAACACTGATCACATTTTAATGCCACTGCCCATTTATTTTTCTATTTTAAGCACAGATCTGCTTTAGGCAATAGGAGCTATAACCGTTTACCTGAATAGCATTTAGCCCAGTGCCTGGAACATAAAATCAAGAAACCAGTAGTCATTGAGTCAGTTCCAATTTATGGTAACCCCATGTGTTTCAGAGTAGAACTGCACTCCACAGGGTTTTCAATAGCTGTGATCTTTCAGAAGTAGATAGCCAGGCCTTTCTTCCACAGTGCCTTTGGTAGATTTGAGCCAGCAAACTTTCAGTTAGTAGCCAAGTGCTTAACCATTTGTGCCACCCAAGGAT